TGAAATGAAGAAAAAAAAATGCATTTGGAATAATATCAAAAAGTTTAAAATGCTTAGGAATCAATGAAACAAAATAAGAGTTGCATTTGCATGCTGCAAACTAGAGAGATTCATTAAAATATATTAAAACCTAGGGCCAGGGATTTAGCTCAGTGGTGCCACACCTCACAAGTGCATGGTCCTGAGTTCAATCTCCAGTACCAATAAATATATATATATATATATATATATATATATATATATATATATTAACCAAAATAAATGGAAAGATATCATCCTGCTCCTTGACTACAGGACATTATTGTCAAGGTGACAAGAAAGTGAAAAATGCAAAAAAAAAATTTTCAGATCATGTATAGAATAAGAACCTAATCTTCACAATATATGAAGCACTCTTACAACTTGTCCATAAAGAGACATTTAACCAAATTTTTTAAATGCTCAAAGAACTAGAACACATCCTTTTCCAAAGAAGACAAACAAATGGACAAAAGGCATATGAAAGGTGTTCAACATTACCAGTCACTGCAGAAGTGCAAATCAAAACTACCAGTTACCTCTTTGTACCCACTGGGATGGTTAATTTAAAAAACGGAGAACTGGGTGGGGGGCTGGAGATTTAGCTCAGTGGTTTCGCCTCCTGCTGCGCAAGTGCAAGGACCCGAGTTTGATCCCCAGTACCAAAAAGCAAAAAAAATGGAGAACAGGAAAAATGTGGGGACCTGGTGCCTTCCTGCATCGCTGTGTAAGATGGTACAGCCATCATGGAAAACACTGTGACAGTTCCTCAAAACAATAAACACAGGGCTGTCTGTCTGATCCAGTAATTCTGCCCGAGAATCAGACTTCCACACAAGAATGAATGTTCAGAGGAGCATTGCAGCTTTTACTGATGAATGGGCAAAGCGAGCTGTGTCCATACAGTGGAAAAGGACTCGGCAAGACAAAGGATGAATCCTGAAAACGCCCCAGTGTGGATGAACTGTGAAAACACCATGCAAAGGGAAAAGCCAGTTAGGAAAGCCACGCGTTGTATGATTCCGCATAGAGGAAACATCGAGGCATGCTTTTGTTTGGGGCTGACGAACTATTCTAAAGTTATATCACTGTGACCTTTACACACCTCTGTGAACATATCAAAACCCACTAAAGTTGACAGAGTGAATTTTAGGATACATAAGTGAAATCGCAATAAAGCTGCTATTTTTGTTTTGTTTTGTTTTCTTTGTTTTTTAGGGTACCAGGGGTCAAACTCAGGACCTTGCACTTGCCAGGCAGGTGCGGCACCACTGAGCTACGTCCCCGGCCCAAGCTCCTATTTTGAGGCAGGCGTCAGAACCACTGAGCTAAATCCCCAGCCCCCAAGCTGCTATTTTGAAAAGGAGAGCCAGTGAGATTTTGCCCACAGGGGCAAATTTCAAAACATCTGGATCCACCGAAAATTACCCATTAGCCTCGATCTTCAGTGTCCCAGCCTTGAGTTCAAAGTCACCTCCAGAGTGGCCCAGGGATCCCGTGGCCCAGGTACAGAGGGGTGAGGCGCCAGAGTGGGGTGTGCTCCTCTCTGTCCTGTTGCTGTGGGATGAACGCCACCCCCCAAAAGGAAGATGACCCCGGGAAGGGTCAGGCCCCCATACCACTTCCACTGGGCATTTTTACTTTTATTTCTTTCCGTTTGATTTTATTTTTCTCTTTTTCATTACTATATGTTTGTGATACATAATAAATATGTCCATTGTCAGGAGTTAGCACATATACATACTGCATCTTGATCCTATTTTCTATAATTTATTTCTTTTTCCTTTTACTTTCAAATATAACAGCTTAGAAAAGAACTTAGGTCTTGCCTACAGATTTTGACTCTTAAGAGCAAAAACTCTAAGCAGAGTTTAGGGGAAATTAAGAAAAATGATATCTTGCATTTGGAGAGTAAGTTTTTAAAAACAACAAACAGGCCGAGGATGTAGCTCAGTGGTTTCGTCTCCTGCTGCGCAAGCGCAAGGACCTGAGTTCGATCCCTGGTACCAAAAAAAAACAATGAACAAACAAAAAATATCCCAGGCCGTGAGTTAGAGAGATGAAGGCTCATTTACTCTCCCACTTTGCAGTCAGTGAAATGGAAAGGCCTTGCACATGTGGAGTCACAGAACATGCTTCTCACCTGCAACAGACATCCCATTACAGAGGGGTTTTGTTAGCCAGACAAGTAGGCAGGTGAAGTGCCAGGAGCAAAACCTCAAAATTTTCAGAGCAGGTGGAAGGAAGAGGAATACGCGTGGCGCCAGCCCTGGCACAGAGCCGATCCTACCCGGTAAGGCCTGCGCCTGGCCACTAATATTCGCGAAACATCCACTGTGCCGCCACTGCCACAAACGCGCTCACGCCTGGGCGGCACCAGAAGCCTGGCCCACATCCCAGTTCCTAGTAAGCAGGGGAGTTCATGTCCTCCCCACATTGTCCCCATGAGAATTTAAAAACTGGCAGGGTCCAAAATGGAAAGGAACTGAACGACTGGGTGAGAAACCTGGCGTCTGTCGAGCACAAAGAATCTCATAATATTGCTGCGTCTGGATAATGTTTCCCGGTCCTGAAGATGGCAGAAGCCACACATCACCCTCTGTCCTCCACCACCCTCTGTCCTGCACCAAAAGAACAGGATGTCGATAATGAGAAAGTGGCCCGAACGGGCCCCCCCGCCCCGTGTCATTTCTGCATTCCTAAGCACAGAGAAGGTGCTGGTCCCTGTCACACAGCTGCCCGCACTCTGGAACGCTGGGCTGTAGAGAGCTGCGTAGTTCGGATGCAGAGAGCACCTAGCCGCGAACTGGCCACGGCTCAGGAGAGCCTGCACTTCCAAGCCCTCCTCCACACAGCAGCACGGAGGCGCAGGCGCTTCCACCCAGAGAGGAAGTGTATCAGCCCGCTGTGGCTGCTGTAACAAAATACCATCAACTGGGTGGCTTGTGTCCAACAGAATTGATTTCTCACGGATCTGGAGGCCGAGTGGCCCCAGAGGGGTGTGCGAGCAGACTCGGTACCCGATGCTTTCCCTGCTTCTTCTCAGAAGAACAGGAAGCAAAAGACACAGCTGTGTTCTGGCTGTAACCTCGAATTCCAGAAGGGCCGAGCCTCTCGGGGGTCTCTCTCCTAGGGGCACTAATCCATCCCTGGGGGCAGCATCCTCCCGACCTAACCACACGGGTGTGTTCTGAGCTCAGTGTTCCAGGGACTACAGCTAAGGGTCATGGACTAAGTCAGGACTCCAAATGCACCCACCTGACAGGTTGAAATCGAGAGCTTAAAAAACACACTCTCCAGGGCCAGGGATTTAGCTCAGTGGTTCTGCCACCTGCCTCGCAAGCACAAGGTCCCAAGTTCGATCCCCGGTATCAAAAAAAAAAGCTCTCCCTGGGAGAATCCTCTTGAAATAGAGCACAAAATTCAGGTGTACAAGCTCACATGGGGGAGATCAGCACTCACAATAATTTTTGTAAAAGAAACCTGGTAGACTTTGTTATCTGCAAGCCCCACAGGAGCTGGAGCTGAGCACTTTCTAAGCGACCTCGCTGGCTTCTGTACTGGAGGATTCCTTCCCAGCTCTGCACACAGAGTACCCAGCAGCTTGGCCCTGTCTGGACTCTACTGGAGAGTGGACACCTCTGAGTGTCTCGTTTGGGGCTCATTCAAAAGCTAAGAGCATTGAAAGGCCCTTGACCAGGGTGTCAAGGGCTCCCTGTCACCCAGTCGTGCGTTCATTCACTTATTCCTGTGTTCACTCAAACTCCCATTGAGCGCCTGATATGTGTCAGGCACTGGGGCTGTAACTTCTGCCCTGTGGGTCTTGTATTTCAGCAGGAGAAGATATGTTAGGAAGCTGGTAAATGACCCGGAGAACTGGGAAGTGATGGGAGGAGCTGCACCCAATCAGGTAGCAACAAAGGCTCTCCCAAGGGCTAGTGTTTAGTCCGAAACTGGTCAGAGTGAGTCAGGAGCTGAATGGCTCTTGGGAGGCATAGCGAGTGCAAAGGCCCTGGGATCGGAGGGCTGGGGTATCGGGAGGGCAGGGGCCATGTGCAGGGAGTGAGTCAGCCTCAAAGAAGCCGCCGTTGGGTGCTAGCTCAGCAGGGCCTCCCAGCCACTGTTTTGGCTCAAGTGATGATGTGAGAGGAGGCACGGCAGGGGGTGGGTGTGAATCGGGGATCATGTGACTGGAACGACTCGCTCTGCTGTCTGGGCCCTGGTGCGGCGTGAGCACCCATGTGGATGTGCAGCTCGGTTGTGTTCTACAGAGGGAGAGGGGGAGCCAGCTGTTTTCAACACTCAAAGATCAAAGAACAACAGGAGATGGACACATTTTCTTGTGGACCCTTCTTCAGGCAAAACTCAAAGTGTTAACTCACAAGAGGAGATTTCGCTGGGTATGGTGGTGAGAGCCTCATGGGAGGCTGAGGCAGGAGGGTCACTACGCGTTCAGGACAGCCTGGGCTACACAGTGAGTTCAAGGCCAACCTGAACCACATAGCAAAACCCTGTCTCAAAAAAAGAAAAACAGTCTGGGGATTTAGCTCAGTGGTTCTGCCGCCTGGCTCGAGAGCTCAAGGACCCAAGTTCGATCCCCCGTACCAAAAAAAAAAAAAAAAAAGGAAAAAAAACAAAACAGAAATCTCTCGCAATCGGTGCTGCTGGGCAGTGAAACAAGTTTTCTTACAAAAAGACTGAATTGCAATCATTGTTCAAGCAGCCAGTCAGGACTCCTGCAGGGGTTAAATGCAGAGGAAGAGGAGAGTGGGTGCACGGCCCAGGGCCTCACTAGCCAGACACTGCTCTCCTCAGCCTAAACCTCTCAAGGGGCTGATTTCCTTCGCTACAAAGACCAGCAAAGAGCCCTTCGCACAAGGTCTGTCCAAAGACTGCGGTGTGCATTTGCATTTTTAAATTCACTACAGTAAAAGACATTGCACAAATCTCCCTCAGAATCCTCCCCCTCACTTTGAACTCACTGTTCCCGCCGTTCTTGCCACTCTGCAGTGGCTCTGGAGTCCTGTTTCAGGGCCGTCTGCTGAGCGCTGTCCATCAGAAAGCTGCATCTTCACCCGCTCACTCCGGGGATCTGGCACCCCATGCCTTCCAGCTCTTCCCAGAGTCCCGGTGACCGGGAAGGCGACCAATTTGAAGCCCTGTGCACACCTGTTCTTCCCACTTCGTGTCCTGGAGGAAACACCTGGTGGGTGTAGACAGGTGTGTGAGCGGCACACACAACTCAGTCTGTGCCAACTCAGGGACTACTCAGGCCGGGCTAGGAAAAGCCAAGAGAAATCGCCTTCACCAAGTCCGCTGGCCGGGCTGACCAGGATGGCAGGGGATGAGCTGCCTGGGCCGCTCTTCACCCCCTGAATGGTCGGCCACCGCAGGCCGCAGCCAGTGACCTCCAGTCGCCACCAGAGGACTGGGCAGGAGGATGCACAAGGGCAGCTGAGCTCCTGGGTTCTCAGGAGTGATGCTACGCAACTTGAGAGCCAAACCCTGGACTCCAGCTTGGCCAGAACCACGCCTCGGAGGCTCCCAGTCATGTGATCTCTGTGGGGACCTTCAGCTTCTCCTGGGAAACTGCGAATACCCACAGGGGCCTCCCTCCTGGGGCAATGGCTGTCACCCACCGAGCACCTGGGATGAACCAGACACTGCACCGAAATGCCCAAGCCGAATTCTCTCAGCGATCCTGCCAAGCTCCCTTGTCTCACAGAGGCTCTCAGAAGTTTAAGAAACTTGCCAAGTTTACACGCCTAGCCTGGGACAGAGTTGTCCTTCAAAGTCAGGTCTGTCCAACCGCAGCCCAGCTTGCCGTAGTGCACCATGCTATGGGGCACTTAATTTACCTCCTTTGAAAGAAATTTCTAGAGCCAGGCGTGGTGGTGCACACCCTGTCATCCCACCACTCAGGAGGCTGAAGCAGGAGGATCGCAAGTTTGAGCCCAGCCTGGGCAAGCTAGTGACTTCACGAGACCATGTCTCAAAATAAAAAATGAGGAGCACTGGGGACATATCTCAGTGGGAGGGCCTGGGTTCAGTCCCCACATCACAAAAGAAGGAGCAGGAGGAAGAAGAGGAAGAGCGGCTTCTTTACTGTTACCTGACAGTGGGGGCCACTGCGCTGTGGGCTCTGGGCCGAGGCACCGAGGGCCCCTGCAGGAGTTGCTGTGAGCAGCAAATCTGCCACACGCCTGTGCCTACTCACAGACCGCTTTGAAGTAAGAGTTGTCTGCAAAAAATACCAATGTCTCGTGGACTGCAGCCACTCTTGTAATTCCCTTTTAGACACAGCCTCACTTAATCAGGCAAACCAGCACTTGTATTATCTGGAAGGTACAGGGGGAAAGTTGGCCCGAGAATTCAGCACTAAAGCCAGGACCCGGCCATGTGGCGCCATAGTCCAAGCTCTTGGGCACACACAGCGCACCCAGTCTTGTCTCTGAGGTGGTTGGGATTAAGCAGAAATTACCAATCCGCCTCCCTGCCGCGAAACCCACTGAGAACAAAAGCAGGGAACAATCGCCCTTCAGGTCAGGGCATCACGAAGAAGATCTGGAATTCAGCAGACTGTGCTCAGGTGTCTCAAACCTGCTGAAGCCCTTCAAAGGCTGCTTGACGTCGTCCAGCCTCCCTTTCATTCATTCTTAAAGTGGGAATAGCAGTAAATCCACCAACAGGTGGTTCTGCACGATGTAACACATTTTCTGTAAAAGGCCAGAAAGTAAACATTGCAGACGTGGAGATCGGTACAGGGATCTAGTCACAATGACTCACCTGCTGCTGCCCTGTCAAAGCTGTCACAGATTCCACAGAAATAAACAGGGAGTAGCTGTTTCACTACAATCTTCTTTACCAAAACAGGTGGGAGCTGCACAGCAAAGGAAATCATTAACCAAGGAAAGAGACAACCCCAGGAATGTTCACAGAAACACTCGCAAGACATACATCTGACAGGGTGCAAATGTCCAAAATGTGTAAAGAACTCAGTTCCATAGCATAAAAAACAGATATCCCGATTTTGAGATGGGCAAAGGGCAATTTCCCAAAGACCAACAGCGTAAGAGGAGATGTTCTGTGTTGCTCATCGGGGAAATGGAAAGTGAAGTCACAAGGACCTGGGCCCTGACACCCAGTGGAACAGTGTCATCCAAAAGAGAACAGAGGGTTGGACAGGCCATGGGAAGGGAGCCCTGTAGGCTGTGGGTGAGAATAGAAATGGGGAGCCACTGGGGAAACCAGTACGGGGTCCGTGAAGAATTAAAGGCAGACCAAGCTGATCCAGAAACCCCACTACTGGGTGTTTGCCCAGAGGAAGTGAAACCAGAAGGTCGAAGGCAAACATTCGTCCTCACAGTCCCTGCAGCATTACTCACAACAGCCCAGACGCGGGGTCCTCCTACGTGTCCATCTGTCCTAGCTACTTGCTCAGCACGGAAACCCTTACCCGACACCCATGACTTAAAAGAGGACAGGTTTACTTTGGCTCACAGTTTATAGAGGTTTCAGTCCATAGCTGGCTCCAAGGCAGGGCGGCCTGGCAGAGGGGCAGCTCTTGGTGCGGCTGCAGGAGGTAGTGAGTGAGCAAAGGAAGGAGGAGGAGGAGGAAAGAGGCAGCCCTTCCAGGCTGGGCCCCAGGGACTCCTGTCTGACCAGAGCCCACCACCAGCCAGCTATAAACTCACTGACAAAGGGAAGAGACAAATTACAGAAGTGGGTTAATCCACTGGTGAGTCCCACACCCCAGGAATGAATCACCTCCCAAAAGCCCCAGCTCTGCGGCTTTTGGGGGGACATTAGATATAAACCATAACACCAGCACTCGACAGTGGTAAAGAAAACGTGGTTTACACACACAGTGGAATACTATTCAGCCTTTAAAAGGGAAATCTTGTCAATTGCAGTAACTTGGATGAAACTGAAGAAAATTATGCTTAGTGAAATAAGCTGATACAGAGAGCTGGATATTGCACAATCTCACTGATCTGTGGAATATAAAGAAACTGAGCTCAGGAGAGTGGAAGGGTGACTCCCAGGGCTGCGTACGCGAACAACACGATGCTTCAGTGAGATGAAGGAGCTCTGCAGGGTTACGGTGCAGTGCAACGACATCCGGTGAAGAGGAGGGGCTCGAGCACTGTAGACTTGAAAACTGCTGAATGCAGACGTCTAAATGTTCTCCTCCAGATGATGAGGATGTGAGGTGATCGCTTTGTTAATTAGCTTGTTTTAAGTCATTCCAGAAATATGCACATTCCGAAACGCCATACGCATGAAATCTCGCATTTGTCACCTAAATAAATAGTAAAATAAACTGCAAAAACAGACAGGCAGACAGCTTTGGGTCTAGAGCACTAGTTCTCAAAGTGTGGTCCCCACAGCAGAGGCAGCAGCGGCAGCGTCTGTCTAGAGACAGGAAGCCTCCTTCCCATGGCCCGCTGGTCGGAGTCCCTCAGCCCAGCCCTGTGTTCAGACAACCACATCCCGGCAGCTGAAGGAGAGCGAGATCTTACTGATCCATTTTCTATTGTCTACGTGATCCACTTTGCATTTCTAAAAGAGCGCTTGCCTAAAACACTTTTGGGAAACAGCTTTTTCCTTTTGCTGTTCTTCGTCTTGCAAGTGTGAAATAAAATTTTGACCCACATTCCACAAAACAAACAAAAACAATGAGTGGGACTGGATTTAGCCTGCAGATGTCACAGTGGCCAGCACTTGTTTAGGAGGATTACACGAGATGACGTAAGGGCTTTGCAGGACCCGGGAGAGGGGTCACCGAAAGTGGGGTACACTTTCTGTGGGTCCAGTGTGAAAGGACCAGTGTTTTTCAACAGGGCTCAAAAATGAAAAAAAATCCCAATAAAAATCAAAGAAATTCAGCACTGTCATTATTCTCTGAAGTCTTTCTTAAGTAAATGCATAATTTTCACAGATTTTTTAATTATGAAAAAGTTACCAAGACTCCACTCCCAGGATTTTCTTACAGAATTGTTAGATACAACTTTGTTTAATATTTTTAATATCGGACAAGTATTTGTACTAAAAAGAAAAGCATTCATTGTTTAAACTGAAATTTAACTGGGGTACTTGGGGTTTTGTTGTTGTTACTGTTATTTTGTTTTTCTTGTTTTTGCTAAATCTGACGATAATACCTGTGTCACTCACTGTGGTTCTACAATTTAGGGACCACTAGGGTTTTTTTGCTTTTTTTAGCACATAATCCAACACAAGCAACATTTTGTTCTTTTGGGCAGTAAAAGAATTTCATACTTATGGAATTATCTCCAAGGTTCAAAACTAATAACTCCCCTGGGTAAAAGCCACGGAGACGCTGAGACTTCGCAGAGCACTGCAGTCTCAGATGCCAACAGCAGGCTTGGGTCACCCGAGGAAAAAGGTGCAATAATCTCACATTTGTCCCCACTGAATTAAGTCAAGTAGCTTCCAGGAAAATGTTAGGCACCCCTCGTGTCACCGTGTTGCCTTAATATCTGAACGGTATTAATGACGGAAAAACTCAGTGCTATCCAACGTGTCCAAAGTCTCGCCACCGAATTTGTCAGTAATCAAACAGTGCGCAGGGGAAGCCCATTTTCGTGAGTAAACAGAGCTTCTGAGTGCAGAAGAAATATGCTGTGTACATAAATAGAGAGGCCTAAGTCGAGGTCCTGGTAAATATTTGATCGTGGACAGGTGAGTGGAATAGGTGCTGTCAGGGTTCAAGATCTCCCCACACGTGGACCCATGAGGCCGTCTGGGGTTATGTAAAGGCGAGCGCCACTCTGCAGGATGTAATCCGTGCGTCCTTCCAAACTTCGGGGGACAGCTCCATTCATCAAGCTTTCAGGAAAAGTATCTGGTGTTCAGCTCTACCACTTCCCAACTGGGCATCTCAACAATGCGCTGCAACTCTCCGACCTCCCCTCCCGTCGCCGGAACAGAGACGATGATGATTCTCAGCTCACACACTTTGGTCGGGGTGGAAGGAGGTCACAGATATGCAAACACTTTGCAAAGTGTGGCCTGCAAAGCACGGTCACCTCATGTTCCCAGGAGCCGCAGTGGGAGCTCTGGCGATGAGAATAAGATAATGTCTGAGTGTGAGCAGATGAAGCCATGCCATGGATTACGCCAAGGCAGGACAAGGTCATCTGGCTGCCATCAAAGTTCCGAAGACTGGGCTTTGACCAGGGGAAATGCCCTGCTTCACAGTCGGAAGGGGAGAGGTCCAAGGTCAAGGTGTTGGGCGGGTTTGTTTGTCTGCTGCCTCCACCCTTGGCTTGCTGACAGCCGTTTCCCCTTTGTCTTCACGCTTCGTGCGCCTCTCATCCAAACCCCTCTTCATACAGACACCGGCCGCATGGGTGTGGCCCAGGTGGCCTGTTTCATCTGACGGTCTCTGAGAAGATCCTATCTCCACATAAGGCCGCGTTCTGAGGTTACAACTTCAACACATGAATTTCGAAGAGGAAGAGAGGTCAACCCAAGCCGCAGCACCCCTTCCATCCGCTCCTCGAAAGTGGCTGGTTGGATGGACAGCGTTTCCCAGCGTGGCTTGCCTCTCCTCCGATGCAAACATCCGCTCCACACAGGAGACTCTCCCAGTTGCAATCAGGATGGCAAACAGTGGCTCACTTCATACCTTCTCAAGCACCAAGACACCAGGCAGGCCTCTTTGCAGAGCACTATCTCTGTTCTGTAACTCACACGTCAAAATTTTCCCTCTTAATATCCAGCTTGTCAACAATAATTCATCTCACAGTGATACAGAGACCCTGAAGTTGTCAGATTTCCAACTCCAGTCTTTGTTGGAGTCATGGATTTATCAGTTATCCATCAGCTCTTTGCCCACAAGTTAATCACACGTTTCCAAATCTGGTGACATTCAGGTAACAATGTACAGGTCTATAAAGGCACACACAGAAGTAGGATCTTATACGGAATAAGTGCTGTACATACAACAGAATAAAAGGGACATTTTGAAAGTATAATTAAACCTTTGAAATCACGTTTCCTTGGCAACTCAGTATCCTTGCTGCAGTCCTTCACTGCGGGGCCATTTGGGGGACTGTCAATGTCCCACACAGAGCACATGCATGGCTGTAGCCATGCACTACTTGTAACATTTAAAAAAAAAAAAAAGTGGAAATAGCCTAATGTCCAGCAATGGGAATTTTCTAACAATATCATGAAGCAGCTATAGAATGGAAAGCAATTGTCCCCACTGACAATTATGATCATGAAGAATAGATAAACATATAGGTCCATGCTCTTGGGATGCTGCCAAGAGAAAAACAAGTTCCAGAAAAGCAGGTCTAAATCCAATTTTAAGAATACATGTACATTGGGCTGGGGATCTAGCTCAGTGGTTCTGGCACCTGCCTTGGAAGTACAAGGTCCCGAGTTCGATCCCTGGTACCAAACAAAAAACACACATATGCATTAAGGAGTATAAGAGGGATATTCACCTATATGTGCATATGTTTATCTCAAGTCGCATGGGGTTGATTTTTTCTTTCTTTTTTGTACTTTCTTTTATTTATTTTTCAACAAAATGCATGTATTACTTACATAATACAAATGCAACTTTTGAAATAATCTCTGAAACTTAGCTAAAACTGAAGCAAAGCAGTTTTCACCCTTCTACAGTATACACTTTTCCACCGCTCTCAGTATTGAATTTCTAGGAGTTGATAATTTAAGGAGGAGGTTCAAACAGTGTAAACACAATTATGTACTCAGCAACATAGTGCCGCCTCTCGTGGCATGACTACTCCAAGAGTGATGGCCAGCTTCATGTGAGTAATGGGGTTTCTATAAAGATGCCAGGGGATCAGGCAGGAAACTTAAGTGAGGGGGAGAAATGGTCATGAATCTCACGATCAGGGGCTGGAAAGGAGCTCAGCAATCATCTAGCTCACACAGGGGCCTGGGTTCAATGCCCAGGACTGAAAAGTAATCCCTGTTCAACCACAGGAGCTACTTACTGGGACACAACAGGCACCCAGTGCCACCAAGAGAGCAGGACACTGCAGCTCTGACAGAGGGCCAGAAACTTCGACTTCAGGCACAGTCTTGGGCTTGAAAGGAAATGTCAGTGCCCTCCAGCCCGGCCAGCCCTATAGCTGCGTCTCTCCAACTCTTCCAAGAGCTGCTTTTGTTAAATTTCTCTGTAACAAAGAACTCATCGCCTTGGAACACCTTCGGAAACCCTCCATCGTACTGAGCAGGAATGTATCTCCTGCGTCTCCACCTATTTGGGCCACGCCACCACCTCAGAGAAACGCACTGCTGAGCTCCCTTCCACAGTAGAACCAGCGATGTAAAGACCAATATCAGGGCCCTCTGAAGCTCTTGTGCCAATTAAATGTCCAGCATCCACTTCCCACAGCATTCTTACAGCTTGTCACTAATCCCCTTCTGTCTTCTAATTCACTTTTGAATCGACTCACTCCCAACATCTTCCCTGACACCATCTTGGTTGAGCCACCACTTTTCCTTGCTTATGTGACCACAGAGCCTCCCAAGTGGATTCTCCAATGCTCGTCATCACCCCTCCAGCCCACGGTCCATACTGCAACCAGAATGGTTGGACACAGCCTCGTTCACAGCCTTCCTGGCTCCCCGTGCTCCTGAGGACTGCTGATAGCCCGTCACATGGAGCACTAGCTCCTGCTCCCATGCAGTCACATTCTCTTGTCCCCTGTCCCCTGAACGCCTTCTTCCGGGTCCCTGAGCAGCCCCCTGTCCTTAGCCTACTGAAGGTAATGTCACCTCAGTGTGGCACCCTCCCCTGCACCACCTGCCCCTCACTTAGGCCTACTCAGCTCCGAATCTCAGTTTAGGATCAGTTCCTTCAGAGAGCTCATCCTGTTCCCCCTTCACCTGGACTCCCCTTCTTAGTGCTCCCGCTGGGACCTATGCCCCCGAGTCTAAAGTCACCTGGTCCCTCACCCAGCACCCTGTCTATTGCAGTGGTCACCCGTGAGATCCTGTCTACCCTTCCAGCACTTTGGTCTCCAGCATGTAGCACAGTGGTCGTCCTATAGTAGGTGCCATAATGATGATGATGATGATGATAACTTAATACGTGGCACCCAGGCTTAGACATAATTGTTCGAGAAGTTGTCTGAACAATACAGAGTGGGTTGACTCTCCTTTTCCATGTTCCACTCTAGAACTTTTTTAATAAAGCCTATTTTAGAAGAAACATCTCACTATTGACTACTGTCAGTTTAAACTCCAAGCCCAAACAACGTGAAGCTACCACGCCCCGGACTTCTCTGGTCTTTTCCTTTCTCCCACTCTCTCCTCTCTGTCTCCTTTCTCCTGCCACGCCCCCACACTCCTACACGTATATCCAACAATGCCCAATTTACTTTTAAGACCCACGTCTAAGACATTTTATACTCATCTCTGTCCATATCCCCCAAAAATAAAAAGGTCAAATGGACGACTTACTGATGACTTTTAGACTCCCGATCCCGGTGACTTCTGCATGCTCCTGTGATCTTCCTCTTACGCCTCGCGGTGTCTGTGAACAGGAATTGGGAGTGAGGACAGAGCCCAGTCGCCGCGTGGAAGCGGAAGCGTTTGCGAATCCGCCCCCCCCCCAAAAAAGGTGCGAGCCCCTCCTGCATGCTCCTGTGATCTTCCTCTTACGCCTCG